AAAAAAAAACCTCACAGAAGAAGAATATAAAATAATAGTGTTTGGATTGAAAATTTAGAGAAGTTGACCAGGTGTGTTTTGAATAAAGACCGGAAGGAAGTGACAGAGCTAGATATGTGACTCTCTGGAAGAAGGGCAGAACCTGTTCAAAAGTGTGACTGGTTGAGGAACAGTAAGCATTGTGAATGGGACAACATGAATGATGAGAAAAGTGATAGGAGTTAAGATAGAGCAAGTTGCAGATAATGTAGGATGCTGTTGATCATAGTGGTGACTTTGGCTTTTACTATGGTGAGATGGAAGCCATTGGGGGTTTTCAGTAGAAGAGGAGATCTGACTTAAGTTTAGTGGGTCCTTTTGGCTGCTATGTCAAAAGTAAATTGCTGGGGGTAATAGCAGCTCTTTGAAGGCTAATGAAGTAATGCAGGCAAAAGATGATGGTGGCTTGGACTGAGGTTGTAAGAAGTATTTGGATTCTGAATAGATTTTACAGATAAAACTAAAGATTGAATGTAGAGGTGTGAGAGAGAGAGGAATCAATGAGGTGGTGTGGCCTGAGCAGTTAGAAAAATGTAGTTCCTGTTACCTGAGATGGGGAAGACTACAGGAGGATCTGGTTTTGAGGGGGATACCAGGAGCCCAGTTTGGGATATTTTAGGAATGAGATGCCTAGGAGATGACCAGGTAGCCCCTTGAATATTCACATCTGGAGTTAAGAGGAGACTGGCTCAGAATATAAATTTGGCAGTTGTCAGCAGGATGATCGTATTGAAAGCCATGAGAATGGATAAGATTACCTGAAAAATGAGTGTAGATAAAATAAAGAAGAGAGTTCAACAATTGAGCCCAAAAGTAAGCCAATATTTAAAGGTTAGGAAGATGAGTATTAATGGAAAGCAGCAAAGTGGAGAAAACCAGGTAAGTGTAGTATCTTAGAAGCCAAGAGAAAGTGTTTTAGAAAGAAAGAAGGATTTACCGTGTCAAATACTGAAGATAGTTATTGTGAAAGGAGCATGGAGAAGTGACCACTGGGCTTATCAGCATCGTGATAAACTACAAAAGAGCAGAGAAGTGGTGGGTACTAAAACCTAACTGGAATGGAAGTAGAAAAATTAGAGATATTTTTCAAAGAGTTTTCTATAAAGAGGAGAGAAATGGAACGGTAGCTAGAGAGGGTAGAAATGTTGAGTTCTTTGTTTTTGTTTTTTAGATGGGAGAAAAAAACTCCATGCTTTTATGGTGATACTGAAGTAGAAAAAAATGATGATTATGAATGAGTGAGGATAATTGCTAAAATCAGGAGGGTATGGGATTTAGTGCATAGGTAGGAGACTTAACTTTGTGTGCCAGAGTGGATAGTTAATCCACAGTAACAGGAAGTAAAAAAAAATATGGGCAAAAATGCAGGTAAGATGTAGAATGTATTTGTAGAAGCTTGTGAAATTCTCTTGTAATTGCTTCAGTTTTTCTAGTGAAATCATGGGCAAGATCATCAGCTGAGTGACAATGGGTTGGAGGGTTGCTTGTTTGAAGAAAGAGGAGTAAGTATGAAATAGTGACCTAGGAGGATGGAAGAAGGAATAGTCTAAGGAAACACACTATTATTGCTAGGAAGCATTAAGAGCCCTACTGAATTTAGTGATTGTTCATTTAAATAAACATCATGGTTTTGTTTTTCTTCAGTCATATTACCCAGCACAGATATAGACAGAGTTGATTTAAAATAGTGGTTTTTCCAGGCATGTATACTACTAAGGGGGAGTGGGGTAAGGGGTGATAAAAGCAAGGAGGGGTATATAACGATTGGAAATTAAACTTTGTCGGGAGCGAAGAGAGAACATGAAGGATTAAGGGGCAGTGAAAAGTTGGTAGGATCACTGGATTATCGTAATGAAAAGGAGGATTGTTGGGATTGGGTTACTTTATAAAGTGAGTAACTGGAAAGAAAAGGAGATGGTGACCGAAGAGTTGGTTGTTTGAAATGAGATTCCCTATTTGGGATATTTATGTTTTTTTCACTTTTCATTATTAAAAACAATGCTAATGGTTAGCATCTTTGTATATAACAAGTTTTTTGGCACCTATTATTACTTCCATAGCCAGTTGTAAAAAGTAGAATTATTGAGTTATAGGATATTAGCATTTTTAAGACTTTTGATGTACAGTACATAAATTTCTTGAAGAATGTTTCCAGGGTGTATTCTTCTTAGCAGCAAATTTCCATTTCACTACTACTTTGCCAACACTAAGTATTTCATTCTTGTTTTCACTCTTAGCCTCATTTTTTCTTTTCTAATTTGGTGGGTCAAAAAAGTCTCTTTTTTTAAAGGTATAAGATAATACATTTTTATATAGCTGTATCTATTGATCTTTCTGTTTGTGGTTTTCACTTTAAAGTTTAGAAAACACTATTCTGCACTCTGGGAGGCTGAGGCAGAAGGATTGCTTGAGATCAGGAATTCCAGACCAGCCTGAGCAAGAGGGAAACCCCACCTGTACAAAAAATAGAAAAATTAGCTGGGCGTGGTTGCACATGCCTGTAGTCCCAGCTACTTGGGAGGCTGAGGCAGGAGGATCGCTTGAGCCCAGGAGTTTGAGGTTGCTGTGAGCTATGAATGATGACACCACTGCACTCCAGCCCAGGCAACAGAGCAAGACCCCGTCTGAAATAATTGATTAACAAATAAACAAGCAAATAAATTAATTAATTAAAGGGGATGGGGGAAGGAAATTCAGGTGAATATTTTTAGTTCTAACTTTTATTATTTTAGCATTATTTCTGTTGTAACTAACTTTATTTACTCAGTTGCCTAATTGAAACTAGTTTATCCTAAAAGATCCTGAATCTTTTGTCAATGAAATATGATTGAGAACATTTTGGGAATTCCATTTGTTTCTTTGGCTTTCTAGATTGTAGCAGCATTCAATAATTGTTTATTTGTATAGCCCTGTGGTCCCCAATTCCCGGGGCTGCCGGACTGCTACTGGTTCATGGCCTGTTAGGAACTGGGTGCATGCACAGCAGGAGGTAAGGTGGGGGGTGGGAGGGCGGGCAGGGGAGCAAGGGAAGCTTCATCTATATTTACAGACACTTCCCATCTCTTGCATCACCATCTGAGCTCTGCATCCTGTCAGATCAGCGGTGGCATTAGATTCTCATAGGAGCCCAAACCCTACTGTAAACTAAGCCTGGGAGGGATCTAGGTTGTGTACTCCTTATGAGAATCTAATGCCTGATGATCTAAGGTAGAACTGAGGTGGTGATGCTAGCACTGGGGAGTGGCTACAAATACAGATTATCATTAGCAGAGAGGTTTCACTGCACAATAAATGTAATGCGCTTGAATCATCCTGAAACCATCCCCACCGCCCCACCCCACCCCACCCCTGGTCCGTGGAAAAAATGTCTTCCGTGAAACCAGTTCCTGGTGCCAAAAAGGTTGGGGACCGCTGGTGTAGACCATCTATACTGCACATAGTAAGAGTAAGCAAGAAATGAAACATTTTTTGCTCCTCAAGCTGTTATTTTGTAGTCTGAGATCACACATAATGTCCTTTAAAAAATCATCTAAATGTTTTAGTAAATAGAACAAGAAAATTTAATTTGCAAAGTGTCTTTGTATTAACTCTAAGATTTGTTCCAGTTTGTGAGCTACTTAGTAAGATACAGTTATTCATAGAGTCTCTCATTTCTCTGAACTGAGATTTTATATGTCATGTAATATAAACTATATTTAAGTCTTTACTGGCAAAATAATAGATTGAATTGATGGAAGAATTTTCTGAGGAAGATGTTTTTTACATAAATTTAGAGGAAGGTAGGGTTGAAAGAAGGCTGGATTGAGCTCTGGAACAAATTGACATAAAAAGGTAAATGGAGGTTTGAAATTTGATTGCAAAATGAAGGGACATTTAGGGGATTCGAAAAAGAAGGAATAATTTATATATGGGGTTAATAAGATATATTGGTAGAATATGCAAAAATGATTTTTCAAAAATATAGAGTGATTTGGATTTAATACTTGACAGTAATTTGACATGTTTTGGGAGTCTGGCATTGAACAATTATGTGATGTGTTTCTTTTTCTTATACCTGGTTTTACTTTTTGAACCATGAGGGGGAAGAAATGCTGGTAATTGGAGCTTTTTATTTTCTTAAGTAGAAAACAATTCATGGTAAATTCTTTGATGTTTTCAGAATTTTGTAAGGAATTTTACAACTTGTCATCTAAAACATAAATGGAAATTTGTCTAAACTGACACTTTATTTGTCCTATGAACATGCAGTTTTCAGATTTCCTGTGTCTTCATTCAACTGACATTTGAATGCTAATCATGTAGATAGGCTGTACAGGAGATAGGCAAGTTAGAATCTTTTCTATCTAATGGAGATATTAAAACATAAGAAAATATTATGAGTCATAGTAAGTATAGAAAAGAAAGGAGTTGTTGCTATATATACTGTAGCTTATATTTAAAATTCAGTCACAGCTGGGATGATAAATGTGATCATTTCCTACTCTGGACCTTTTACATTTGATAATGTAACCATCCTTAGACCCTTTTCTATGTATGTTATGTATGTATGTATGTGTGTATGTATGTATTTATTTATTTAAGACAGAGTCTTGCTCTGTTGCCCAGGCTAGAGTGCCATGGCGTCAGCCTAGCTCACAGCAACGTCAAAATCCTGGGCTCAAGCAATCCTCCTGCCTCAGCCTCCTAAGTAGCTGGTACCACCACTCCCGGCTAATTTTTTGTTTCTATTTTTTAGTTCATCTGGCTAATTTTTTCTATTTTTAGTTAGAGACGGGGTTTGGGGTGGGGGTCTCACTCATGATCAGGCTGGTCTCGAATTCCTGCCGTTAAGCAACCCTCCTGCCTGGGCTTCTCAGAGTGCTAGGATTACAGGCGTGAGCCACCATGCCCAGCTGTGATTTAAGAATCTTTTTTCCTTTCAAGAGTGCTTGCAAAAAAACCTCTTTTTTTTTTTTTGGCAGAAGTTACGCACAGAGAACAGACTTCTAAAACAACGCATTGAAACATTAGAAAAAGTAAGTAAATGACTACTTTTGCAAGCTTCTTTGAATGTGTAGTATTTTTTCTGTGTATTTTAAATAAATCCTCAAAAAATCTGGCACATGTCTCTCCTAAGTTGTGGTATTGACTGCTTAGCTTGCCTTGCTTACTGTTTAACCAAAATAACTTGTTGTTAATAAAAATTGATCAGTACTAGTCCTTAAACTTTCATGTTAAAGTTTTAACTGAGGTTATTATTAGAGTAACATATTGATACTATTTCTTTTCTTTACATAAAATCTCTAAAAAGTGTGTTCTTTTAGAACCTACTTGGGAATCCATTCTGATACAGCATTTTAAAGATGAATTTCAAATGTTGCCCTGACTTCCTAACATGTTGAATGTGGCACCGATTCCTTTAAGTCCAACTTTAAGTTTAGTCAAAGTGACTAAGTATTCCTTATATAAAAATTCACTCTCATATTGATTTTAACACAGGAGAATTGTGCATAAACTTTTGGTTTTTACAATTATTTTGATATCTACTTGTTACCTCTTCTTCTCTGTTTCACATATAAAAACTGGTCAAATATGGAAATTTTGCGTTATTTTTTATATTGTGCTTTTGATGTTATTATCATTTATAATCATTTTTTCATGCTATAAAAATGAATTGAGTAGTAAAAGTACAATTTAAGAGTTTTGCTTTTCAGATCTAGGCTTCATAGTTTAAAAAAAAGGATTTTGGTTTATTAAAAGAAAAACATCTGAATTTACAAAGTCTTTTGGTGCCTTTTTTTTTTTTAAACCAGAGGTGAGAGTGAGTGGATTAAAAGTCCCCTCATGATGTTGCCAAGTATCTTGAAATCTTCCCTGAAAAGCTATAAATATTCAAGAAAGGAATAAATGGAACTATGAATAGTTTGCACTATTTGTCTTGTTTAAAAAGTATCGATGATTTCGTATTAAACAGAAGTGCACAAGGACGTTTATGACATGTCTGTCTTGGTTGTATAATAATTGCAGATACTTTATATTAAGTCAAAAATCGTTTCTTTGTACATCCCACATCACGTTAGAGTCGTTATGAGGATAATTCTATTTTTTTGGTGACTCCACAAGAAGTTTAATTTATTTTTAAGTCGTTTTAATTACGTACTTTTTTTTCACTAAATACCTACTTTATAGTAAAATATACATGATCTTAGGTGTTTTTTAAATCTTTGGAGTGAAACATTTTCACAGAAAAAGCATTCTTATTTAATTGAATCTTCAGAATGATAAAGATGCTATAAGAAAGTGGTAAGTTTGGATTTTGCATTCTAGGAAAGTAGGTACTTTTTTTTTTTTTTGCTGACTTAGATGGCCTAGATGTGTCACTTAGCACTTAGAATTCTACAAATACTTACGTATGAATTGGATTCTGTAATCAAAAAGTTTACTTACTCAGTTATTGCTAGAGTTTATTAAGTTGAGCCCGTTATCATGTGTTATATTTTTCTTGCATTGTTTCCTTAGAGGTTGCTGTTGCACAAATTGCTGTCATACTTTTTAAGTGGAATTGCTTACTCAAATTCCTTCTCCCTTTCATATAAGTTGTTTGACAATATGGTTAAGTCTAAAAATAGAGTTGTAAAGACATGCTTTCAAAAGAAGATATTTGTCCAAGTAATGAAAAACCACTTGGAATTTGTGTTGCGTCTCTTTTAGAACCACATATTTTTCTGCAGTCTATCCTTGTTTTGATATATTTTCTTAAGGTATTCTTGTTTTGATATATTTTCTTAAGGTTTAAGAGTAAAAACACATTCAGTAAAAAAAGTTGTAAAATTACATGTCCATTTTAATTAGCAATGATAAGTAGGTGGAATTTGGGTATGTTTGTTTCTTCTTATTCCTAATTTTATCACTTTTATTTCTTTCTTATATTTCTATCTGAATTTTTCCTTTTGTAGGAAAGTGCTTCCTTGGCAGATAGATTGATACAGGTATAGTTTTGGGTTTTTTTTTTTTTTCTTAGCATTTTCTCTAACTTCTAAGGAAAGTCATAAACTTAGAAATCCATGTTTTAATGCATGCAATTTTACATGCATTTTCCTAGAAATAATTTTTGGGTGGTATATGTGGGTGTAAACTTAATTTTTGATAATAGTGTATTATCTTGGTTTATTAAAATAGACGCCTTTTGCACGTTTTAAAGCTAACCTTATTTTTTAAAATATTTATTTAAAAATGACAATCAGTGGATTCCTTGAAATTAACCACTATTCATTGATAATTTTAGTCCTGCATGTGCAACTCAGTAAATTGCATGAATTAAATTTTTATTGACTGAAAGAAGAATTATTCTTAAGATTGTCAGACGAATTTTTCATTTAGTTTTCCCAAATTTGCTGGAGCCAATAACAAGCTGCTAGCTAATGATTACCTAGGCTGTTCTATTCTCTGAGGTGATTTTTTTTTTTTTAACATGTCAAGGTAAATAACTAAGCCTTACAAAGGCAGTCTTTCTTGAATCTATCCTAAATTGCTTTACACACAAAAAAATTATGTCCTAAGGGACAAGTGACAAGAGCCCAGGAGGCTGAGGAAAACTACCTCATAAAACGGGAGTTGGCCACCATCAAACAGCAGAGTGATGAGGCCAGTGCTAAGCTGGAGCAAGCTGAAAATACCATCAGGAAGCTCCAGCACCAACAACAATGGGTAAGGAGTCTGGTAGTGCTTTTTCTCACCTTTCTCATCTCCCCTTCCTTTAAACCATTTTTTTGAAGCACAACTTCTGTGCTCTTGTTTTAAATAATTTGGTTTTTTACTTTAATGAACTCTTAACTTATTCCATTTTATGTTCTGTAATACTTAAGGGTCTTATTGTGGCCTAAAGACTCCTTGTTCTAACTTTTTTTTCTGTCTACACAGTTTTGCTAGAAATGGGTAGTATTTTCTTTCCTTGCATTATGTTCTAAGTCATAGAAAACAAGCAATGTATATAAGATTTGCTTTTTAGGTTCCAGAAATCTATTTTCATAACAGATATCATTTTACCAAGGGTAAATTTTAAATCCTAACTTAGGCTAGTTTTTATTCATTGTGCAAATGAAATAATACCCAACCTGCAGAATGTATGTAATCATCTCATTTATAAAGCTTTGATAATGTGGCAATTTGTATCTTATCAAATACTGTAGCTTCGACTTCCTACATCAAGAGTTTGAATTATGACTTAAGATGTATGCCTACCTTTTTTCAAAAGGAGGGACATTATCAAGATAAAAAATTAGCCCTTTAAAAATTATGTTAACTAACCTAGGGCACTAAACAGCTGCTGATTATAAAGCTAGCCTCTGGTATCTTTTGCAACTCAGACATCATTTTCCATTGCAAATTCAAAGTAGGGTGATCTTAATCAGAAATATGAGGATAAAAGAATAGCCAGCATTTTATCTTTGAAAAGATATTATTTCTTCTTTCAGTTTTTTGTTCTCAAGTAGGAGCTGGTTTGTAATAAAAATAGGTAAAAAAAAATTGTGTTATACCTGGAACTCTATACAAGTCTGGAAGGCAAATAAATAATTGCAGAGTTGGACATTATTTTTATTCAGTAAAATTAAAAAACGGTATCATCATCTAGGTACAAAAATCAAAAAACTAAAAGAAAAAGAAAAAAATGGACAATTGAAAGAGCCATAAACATTTGTTTTTTTCTATTATATTGTTGAAGATTGTTAAGAAAAATGAATAGGAAAGTGATAAAATAATACTAAAAAGATGGGAACTCAAGTATTTCGCTCTATTTTTTCATGAAATGTCAATAATATCCAAGCATACAAACAGAAGAAAACAGAATTATAGAGTCATTTTTGAATTAAGCTGAAATGAGTTAGTACAATGTGACTTTTTTTTGTAAAAGGAAAGACAGTAACTATGTTTGCATTTAACATAAGCTACAGCCATAATACATTAGAATCATGAATTAAGTTTTTTGCATTGTTTTTTAAATATCGAGACCTAGGAGTATCAAAAGGATAGAATGTTGGTTTATAATGAAAAAAGTTAACTGGGCAAGCCAAAACAGCCAGAATTAACTGAGTGAACATGTTACTGGCAGAAAGTGAACATCTGTTGTTGAATGTTTTGATTACAGCCTTTCAGTGTAACTGTATGAATTCTTCAGAACTTTCAGAATAAGGGTTTTAAATTTGTAGCCCAGCAGGAGGTATTGAATTACCAATAAAACCATCCACCACCACCACTCTACTGCCAAATAGGAGCATTTTATATAATATAAATAGCTTTAGATTTCATTTATGGAACTAGATTCTAGTCCTGTTTTGCTAACTGTGTGATCTTGTATGCTTGAAGACAGTTTCTTTTTTTTCTAAAATAATGAAATAGGACTAGACCAGAGGTTGGGAACCTGTAGCCTTAAGGCCACATGTGGCCTTCTAGGTCCCTAAGTGTGGCCTTATGACTAAATCCAAATTTCACAAAACAAATCCTTTTATTTTTATTAATATATTTTTGTTCATCTTGTATATTTTTATTTTATTTTTAAAATGAATGTATTTAAAATAACAAAGAAAATAAGTTTCAACAAAATAATCCTCCCAGATTGACTGGCACAATTAGAACATTAGTAAGACATAAGGGCTAAATTAACAGCTTTTAAGTTCGTGATTGAGTTCTAACTTCCCTCTCCTGACTGACTGGCACCACTACGACATGAGGCTGGTTGGCAAGAGTTTATGGGGGTTGAGGACGACAGTCTGTTATCAGCTTTTGACAGTGGTGCACTGTGTTTCTGTTTGAAGTGGAATTTGTGAATAGTTGGATAGCTTGACAGTATTTTTTAATTCTGTCTGGTAACAGCCCATCATGTCAAAGAAGACCAAGAGAATGCTGAAGGAAGAATTTTTTAATGAGGATTGGGAATTGCAATATTATCTTATTTATACTAAAGATAAGATGATTTACTTGCTTTGTGATACTGTAATGTCAACATTAAAGAAATTCATCAGCAGTGTAACACTCATAGGGACCATGAATATTTTAAATTAGAGGGAGAGGCACAAAAGGTTGTATTGAAGAAATTAAAAGATGGAAAGCAAAAGCAAAGACAATTCTTTCAAGCAGCAATAAGACCTGGAAATAATGCCACTGAAGCAACTTATAAAGTAGCTTATATACTCAGGGAAAAAAGGGAAGCTATTAGTGATGCAGAAATTGTGAAAGAATTCACTGTTGAAGCTGTAGGATGCTTAGACTCCAATAATGTTTCAAAGTACAAACAACTACCTCTTTCAAGGAGAGCCATAACTGATCAGCGGCATGAATTAGCCTTCAACTTAACAGAACAACTTCATGCAATACTTCAAAAGGAAAATATATATTATTCAATCGCTTTGGATGAATCAACTGATACTTCTGACTCAGTGCAGGTTTTATACTTCATTCAGGTCATAAGAGAAGGTTTTCTTTGCTACGAAGAGTTACTCACTTTGGGCACTCTTGCAAACAGAACAGGGGAATAGATGTCTTCAACAACTTTCAAGATAAATGTCATGAGTTGGACTGATTTCGTAAATTTAGTGAATGTATGTACAGGTGGTGCACCTTCCATGACAGGAAAACATGACAGGTGTATTGCACAGATAAAAAAAGTATTAACAGATCCAGATGCTCTCATTTCTTTTCATTATATCTTGCATCAGCAAAATCTCTGTGCTAAAGCTACTATTTTAAGTGACACTTTGCAACGAGTTATAAGTATTGTTAACTATATTCCAGCAAATGCAACACAGCATCGTCAGTTTCATAACATGCTAGAATTGAATGATGAGATATTCAGTGTGGATTTGCCCTGTCATTCTAAAGTGCATCGTTGGCTATCACAGGGGCAGGCGTTAGCCAAAATTTTATCTCTGTGAGAACAAATAGTTAAATTTTATGAAGAACAGAATCAGCAATATGAATTATTGAAAGAAGATTTCTATAGGAATGCAGCATTTCTATGTGATATCATGTCAAATCAAAATAATTTGAATACTTTTTTGCAAGGTAAAACTAAATCTATATATGATATATGGCAAAAAATCCAAGCATTTCCAAAAAAGCTGTCTTTTTTCAACACACTCCTTTGAAAGGAAATTTCAGATGCACATTTTCCCCAGTTAGCAAAGGTTGTTGATGAACAGGATGATATATGCGAATCATTTGAAGAATAAATAGCTATTGCAGGCCTATTAATTGGAGAACACAGCGAAAGGGTCACTGACTTTGAGAATCATGACATCCCATTCAAATTAGCATTTCAGCTTCATCTAGTTGATATCACCAAGGCACGCAAAGAACTGTAGTTGGAATTGATTGAGTCATTGATGCTAAGAAAGATCCAATTGAAATATGGAAAAATGCGGTAGAATACCCACGTCTCTGGCAACATGACGGAAAAATGTTTTCTTGCTTTTCAACCACTTACTGCTGGGAATCTACATTGTCCTACCTAATCCAAATCAAGATGCCCTTAGGGTCACGATCAACTGAAATGTGGACCTCCATGCTGCAGCCAAATATACAAATGCTTTCCAACAAAAAGCAGACGCAACAAAGTCATTAAAAGATTGGTTAACTTTAAAATTAACAAATAGTTTTCATTTTTTGACATTAAGTACATAGAAGTTAGAGTTTTACAAAATAATGTACATTTTTAAGTATATCTAATTGAAGTTTCTTGAATGCAGCCCTCTTTGATTACAGCCTTCCAACACGAAAATGTTCCCCACCCCTGGGCCAGGACCATCTCAGGTCTCTCTCTTTCACTTTTTAAGTGAACTTATTAAGGTATAATTTATATGTAATAAAATTTATCAAATTTAACTATGTAGTGTGATGTGTTTGAAATGTATATGATTGTGAACCAGCAATGCAATAAAAACAAAGAACATTTCCATCATTCCCAAAATTTCCTTCGTGTCCCTTTGCACCCCTCACCCTTGCCAGCCCCAGCAACGCATCTGCTTTCTGTCCCTATAGTTTTGCCTTTTCTAGAATTTCGTATAAATGCAATTGTAAGGTGTGAAACTTTTGTGTCTGGCTTCTTTCACTTAGCATATCCATTCTTTTTTTTTTTCCTTTTGGTGATTTTTAAAAAAGTTTTATTTTTAATTGACACATAATAATTGCACATATTTATGGGGTATAATGTGATGTTTCAAAACATGTATACATTGTGAATCAAATCAAGGTGATTAGCATACCTATCACCTCAAGCATTTATTACTTCTTTGTGGTAAGAACATTCAAAATCCTCTCTTCTGGCTTTTTTCAAATAGACAATACATTATTTTTGACTATAGTCACCCTACTGTGCAATAGAATGCCAGAATTTATTCCTCCTAAGTGTAACTTTGTACCTGTTGACCAGTCTTTTCCCATTCCCCCCTACCCCCATCCCCTGGCCTCTAGTAACCACCCTTCTACTCTCTGCTTCTGTGAGATCAACTTTTTTAGATTCCACATGTGAATGTGATCATGTTTATCTTCCTGTGTCTGGCTTTATTTCACTTAACAGAATGTCCTCCAGGTTCACCCATGTTGTTGCAAATAATAGGATTTTATTCTTTTATATGGCAAATAGTATTCTATTGTGTATACATACTGCGTTTTCTTTATCCATTCATCCATTGATGTACACTTAAGTTGATTCC